CAAGTTGCCCAGGGTGATCTCAAACCCCTGGGCTTAGATGATCCTCTCACCTCTGCTTCTCAAATTGTTGCGATTACAGGAGTGAGCCACCACACTTGGTGGGATTTTCTTAGTTTGCTATTGATCTGTTCAGAGTTTAAATTTTTTTCTGTTTCAAGCTTGAGAGGTTGTGTGTTTTCAGGAATTTATCCATTTCCTCTAGATTTTCTATCTTACATACATAGAAATGTTTATGATAATCTCTGGTGATCTTTTGCATTTTTTCAAGATTGGTTGTAACATCACATTTCTAAATTTTTGACTTTATTTATTTGGATTTACTTGTGCACTGTCTCATTCTCTCTCTCTCCTCTCTCTGTGTTAATCTGGTCAGAGTTCTAGCAATCTTTTTTATTCTTTCAATGAATCAGTTTTTGGACTCATTAGTCCTTTCTAATTTTTTTTTGGTGTCAGTTTCATTTAGATCTGATCTGACTTTGGTTATTTCTTTTTTTCTGCTAGTTTTGGGCTTAGTTTGTTTTGTTTTGTTTTTGAGTTGGAGTCCCACTCTGTCAGCCAGACTGAAGTACAGTGGCACGCTCCCGGGCACCTCAGCCTCAACCTGCTGGGCTCTGGCGATCCTTCGGCCTCAGTCTTCAAAGTAGCTGGAACTACAAGCATGCACTACCACACTCAGCTAATTTTTGATTTATTGTAGAGACAAGGCTTCGCCAAGTTGTCCAGGTAGGTCTTGAACCCGTGGGCTCAGGCAATCCACTTGCCTCAACCTCTCAAAGTGCTGGGATTACAGGCTGAGCCACCAAACCCGGTCTAGTTTGTTCTTGCTTTTCCAGTTTCCTTAGGTGCAACATTAAACTGTTTGAGATCTCTGTTTTCTTGATGTGGTTGTATAATGTTATAAATTTTCTTCTTAGCATCATTTAATGACATCCCAGACGTTTTGATATGTTGTGTCTTTGTTTTCATTTGCTTCTTAGAATCTTTTTATTTCTGTCATGATTTAAGTGTTTACTCCCAAATTATTGAGGAGCATGTTGTTTAATTTCCATGTATTTGTGTGTTTTTGAAGATTCTTCTTTGTGTTTATATCTATTTTTGTTCTGCTGTGTTTCAAAAAGATGTTTGGTATGATTTTGACTTTTTGGAATTTAGTCAAGTTTGACTTATGACTGAGTACATAGCTGATCTTAGAGTTTGTTTCATGTGCAGATAAGAATGTTCTGTGGTTGTTAGGTGGAGTGCTCTGTAGATCTATTAGATCTAATGGGTGAAGTATTGAACTTAAGTCCTGAATTTCTTTGTTAGTTTTCTGCCCCGCTGATCTGTCCAAAGTTGTTGGCAAAGTATTGAAGTACCCCACTTTAATTGTGTGGCTGTCTATGTCCTCTCTTTGGTTAAGTGGTAGTTGTTTTATAAATCCGGGTGCTCCTATTTGGGTGCATATACATTCAAGATTGATATTTCTTGTTGTTGAATTGAGTTCATCATTATGCCTTTCATTATCTTCTTTTACTTTCATTGGTTTAATGTCTGTTTTGTCTGATATAAAAATAGTGACCCCTGCTCTTGTTTTCCATTGTCATGGAAGATCTTTCTCCATTGCTCTACCTTAAGCCTATGGGTATCATTAGAAGTGAGACGGATTTCTTGAAGACAGCAGAAGGATGGATCATTTTTTTAAAAGCACAATTTTCTTTTAAGTGGTACATTCAGGTAGTAAACATTCATATTTAGCTATTGATATGGATGGTTTGTTCCTATCATGTTATTATTGAGTACTTACTTTGTGTTCTCAGCTTTGTGGTTGATTTGTATGGTCTGTAAGCTACATGCTTACATGTGTTTTTGTGTTAGGTGATATCATTCTTTCATTTCTATGTTTTGAACTCCTTTAAGCATCTCTTGTAGAGCTGATCAAGGTGACAAATTCCCTTAGCATTTGCCTGTCTGGGAAGGACTTTAATTCTCCTTTGTTCATGAAGTTTAGTTTGGTGGGGTAAGAAGTTCTTGTCTGGTATTGCTTTTCTCTAAGAATACTGAAAATTGGCTGGGTATGGTGGTTTATGCCTATAATCCCAGCACTTTGGGAGGCCGAAGTGAGAGGATTATCTGAGCCCGTGGGTTAGAGACCAGCCTGGGTAACTTGGTGAGACCTCATCTCTACAATAAATAAAAAAATCAGCTGGGCACAGTGGCGCATGCCTGTTGTTCCAGCTACTTGGAAGGCTGAGGCAGAGGGAAAACCTGAGCTCAGTAAGTTGAGGCTGTGGGGGGCAACAGAGTGAGACTCCAACTCAAAAGAAAAAAAGAATACTGAAAATTGGCCCCCAATATTTTTGGCTTATAAAGTTTCTGCAGAGAGGTCTGTTGCTATTCTGATGGGTTTCACTTGGTAAGGCTTTTTCTTTCATACTGACCTTGACTAGTCTAATGAATATGAGCCTCGGAATCATCATCTTCTATAGTACCTTACAGGAGTTCTCTTAATTTCTTGCATCTGTATGGCAGCCTCTCTAGCAAGATAGGGGAAGTTTTCTTGGATAATGTCTTGAAAAACCTGTTCCAGGTTGTTCGCATATTCCCTTTCTTTCTCAGGAATGTTAATCAAATGTAGATTTGGTCCCTCTCAAAGACTTTGCTTATTTTTTTTTTGTTTTTTTTGTTTTGAGTTGGAGTCTCACTCTGTCGCCCAGACTGGAGTGCAGTGGCCGCTCCCGGCCACTACAGCCTCGACCTGCTGGGCTCCGGCTATCCTTCTGCCTCAGCCTTCTGAGTAGCCGGAATTACAGGCATGCGCTACCACGCCCGGCTGATTTTTTGATTTATTGTAGAGATGAGGTCTCGCCAAGTTGCCCAGGCGGGTCTTGAACCCACGGGTTCAGGCAATTCGCTCACCTCGGCCTCCCAAAGTGCTGGGATTATAGGCTGAGCCACCAAGCCCGGCCGACTTTGCTTATTTTAAAAAAATCTTTAAAAAAATATTTTTTTAATTTTTGTCTGATTGGGTTAAGTCAAAGAATCAATTTTCAACTTCTGAAATTCTTTCTTCTGTCTGGTGTGGTCTACTATAAGGGCTTGCAAGTGTGTTTTGAACTTCTTGGAGTGAATTCTTCATTTTCAGGAGTTCATTTTGGCTCTTGGCTTGGCCTAGTCAGCTTTTACTTCTTGTGCTGTTTTTGTGACCTGTTTGATTCGGGTATCCACTTTCTCATGAATCTTGTTGAGTCTCTCTGTCATCCATATTCTGAATGTTATATCTGTCATTGGGGACAGTTCATTCTGATGGGAATCCATTGCTCGGGAGGTGGTGGGATCCTTTGTGGATGTTAAAATAATTTGACTTTTGGGATCGTTGGTGTTCTTGCACTGATTCCTTCTCATTTGTGGAGCCAGGCCCTTCTTTTATTTTTTAAAGGTGCTATGATTGAGATGGGGATTTGTAATGTTTTCTTCTTTTTTTCCTTATGGATATGTTTGTGGTGTGTGTTGTTTATAGTCTATTGCCTTCTTTAAGTGCCCTGACTCCTCATTTTCTACCTGACCCACAGGCTGCAAAGGCAGAGGCAGTGGTAACTGCATTAGGAGGGTTCCCAATGGTGACTTCTTGAGTCTCTGTTCTCAGGGGAGCACTGAGCCATAGCTACAGTGTTTGAATGGGGTGGGGCAGTTGTGTAGTTCCAGGAGACCCTGCCTGGTAGGGAGCTAGGAGTGGAGAGTGTGTCCAGGTGTCAGACCTGTGGGCATGCAGATGCAGCCCATTTCTTTATTTACTTTCTGACCCACATGTGGCAGGGATGGGGGAGGTGGTGCTGCTGGCTGGCAGCCATGGTGGTTTCCTATCTCCTTAGTTCCTCTCTGGTCTGTGCATGTGTGGGGCCAGGGCAGCTACCTTGGCAGGTGGCTGGGAGGAGGTGGCCAGCTTGGTGTCAAATAGGTGAGCAGGTAGGGGTGGGGCAGCCTTTTCACTGTTGTGGGGTTCTTATTCTGACTCAAAGACAGGTGCCAGGGACCCTACTGGGCTGGGAGTCCCAGAGTCCCTTCTTCCTGCACTCGACTATATTATTATTATTATTATTATTATTTTGAGTTGGAGTCTCACTCTGTCGCCCAGACTGGAGTGCTGTGGCCGCTCCCGGCCACCGCAGCCTCGACCTGCTGGGCTCCAGCGATCCTTCCGCTCAGCCTTCCGAGTAGCTGGAACTACAGGCGCGTGCTACCACGCCTGGCTCATTTTTTTTAATTGTAGAGATGAGGTCTCAACAAGTTGCCTAGGCGGGTCTCGAACCCTTAGGCTCAGGCAATCCACTCACCTCAGCCTCCCAGCGCGCGGGATTACAGGCTGAACCATCAAGCCCAGCTTTGACTATATTATTAAAAAAAGATTTTTGGTCACTTTTTCTTTTGTTTATGATTCACAACATTTCTTTCCATCTTTACCCACCAAGTTCACTACTTTGTTATGACTAGAACAGTGGAGTGTAACTTTTCTTGCACTTTTGATTCTGTGCTGCACAGTTTGTGTGAGGCCAGGCCCATGGGTATGTATTTAAACAGAGGCTATATGTAGGCTTCTCAGTGGTGTGATTGCAAGGAACTTCAGTATTCAGGCTGCCTCCAAAATATCTCTTATGTCATTGGGAAGATTCTTCTTTATTATGCAATAATATCTCTGAATACTAGAGCTTAAAATGCACATATGTAACTTGGTATAAAGCATATTAGCACTAGCTTGTTCATCATTTATTCATTATTGAGAACAGTACGTCTTAAAGGTTTGTATCCTCTATAGGATGAGTTAAGGAATAGAGGTTCTAGGATGGGGAGGAGCAGGGGAAGCCACAGCAGAACTGTAGCCAGGGTACAAGATTTATTATTTCTCTACAGTTTTGCCTGTAACTGCCTCGGCCAGTAGTTAAGTGTACTCCATAAAGGTACACTCTATGCTACCATAAAGCAAGTCACCTAATGATGACCAATAACATTTTATATTTTGTTTGCAGAGACTTTGAATACAACTGTATCATTCTCCTTCAGGGGAATACTATTTTCTAAGGTATTATTCCAATATTTATTTTAAATTTTCTTAACCTTTTGCAGTAACAGACATGTTAAAAATTTGAAACAAGCAATTCACAACTTCTATAAATAGTAGCTTAAGATCAAGATGTTCAAGGATTGTTTTTCCTGACTTTCATTTTGTATTAGGTGTTTGATAACTCTTCCTTCTATAGAATACGGAAAAACCGGAAATAGGATAGCTCTTTTCAATTTCTTTTTTCCCCTCTAACATACATGGCTAAAAGTACTGTGAATGATCATTAGTAATCTGTCGAATGGTCTTCAGATGAAAGTGCTGGATGTCCATTGCGTATAAGTAAGTCACGCTCAGCCAGGTGTGGTGATGTGTACCTATAGTCCCAACAACTTGGGAGGCTAAGGTAGAAGGAACAACTGAGCCCGAGAAGTTGAGGCTACACTGAGCCATGATCATGCCACTGGACTCCAGCCTAAGTGACAGAATGAGACCCCAGATTATAAAGAAAAAAAAACCCAGTAACTCTTTATAACTATTTGTGTAATATACTAAATATAATGTAAAAATTGTTTAGAAGAATAAAAATCACAAAATTATTGGCTTATTTTTGTTCAAGATTTTTCTTGAAAACTTAGTCTGGACATCCAGGCTTTTGTAAAAATAACCACTGCCTCAATAAATAATACCATTGTAATTTTATTTATCTTATTTATTTTTCAGTTGGGGTCTCATTCTGTCACCAGGCTGGAGTGTAGTGGTGCAATCATGGCTCACTGCAGCCTTGACCTCCTGAGCTCAAATGATCTTTCTGTCTCAAGATCCCAAGTAGCTGGGACTACAGGCATGTGCCACCACACCTGGATAGTTTTTTATTTTTTGTAGAAATGAGGTCTTGCTATGTTGCCTAGGCTGGTCTTGAACTCTTGGGCTCAAGCAGTGCTCTCGCCTAGGCCTCCCAAAGTGCTGGGATTACAGGCGTGAACCACTGCCCCTGGTTTACCATTATAATTTTAGATATTTGTAGTACTTATCTAGCAGTAATATTTTACACATTTCAGTTTTGGTGACTATTTTAAAATAAACTTTAATAATGCATATATATATTTTTTGAGTTGAAGTCTTACTCTGTCGCCCAGGTTGGAGTGCAGTGTCATACTCATGGCCACCGCAGCCTCCATCTGCTGGGCTCAGGTGACCCTTCCACCTTAGCCTTTCAAGGAGCTGGAATGGCAGGCATGCACCACAATACCCAGCTAATTATTTGATTTATTGTGGAGTCATGGTCTCGCCAAGTTACCCAGGCTGCTCTCAAACCCTGAGCTCAGGCAATTCTCTCACCTCTGCCTCCCAAAGTGCTGGGATTACAGGCGTGGACTACCATGGCCAGCTAATAATGTATATTCTTTAGTTATTTTGTTACAAATGATATCCAATATTTGAAAACCTCAGTCTAGTATTTAAATTGTAAATAACATCATCTTATGATTGGGAAATAAATAAGCTCTATACTCACTGTATTCCAAGGCATGAGCATTTTTTATCTCACTGGAAAACTAAGAAACTGTTAATCAATTAAATTTAAATTGCTTTCTGTTAGTAAGACAAAGTTCTTTTACAAGAACTAATATATATATTACAAGCATCTAATATATATATATTTTAAATTAAGCCCTTCCATTCTAGGATCATCTAACATTTTTCTTTACTCATATTTCTTATTTGTTTTAGGGAAGATACAAAGTTGTTGCTGAAGCCATTGATGGAAGTACTGAAGAAACATTCTTTTGCTTGAATTTTACCATCATACACCACCCTAATTTAAGTTAGCATAAGTTGAATATGCTTTTTTTTTTTTTTTTTTTGAGTTGGAGTCTCACTCTGTCACCCAGGCTGGAGTGCAGTGGTACACTCTCAGCCACCACAGCCTTGACCTGCTGGGCTCAGGCAATCCTTCCACCTCAGCCTTCCAAGTAGCTAGAACTACAGGCACACACTGCCACACTTGGCTTCTTTTTTTATTTTTACTGTAGACATGAGGTCTCACCAATTGCCCAGGCTGGTCTCGAACACCTCAGCTCAGGCAATCCTCTCACCTCAGCCTCCCAAAGTGCTGGGATGACAGGCTTGAGCCATCACGCCTGGCCCTACTTTTTATTTTTCAAAGGTATCGTTCTTGTTTTAAGGGTACCCTGAATTTGTTTTAATCAGGTATAGTAGGATAAGAAGACATGAAAATGACTGTCATGAAGTATCTTATCCTCATAGACTCCAGGCTTAGATTTGCTCTAGAGAGTACAGCTGGAAGTTAGAAGATGAGGGAGAGAGTTTTTGTAAATGAGTCAGGAGACAGCGTTGCATTGCTAGGGAGCGAGCCCTACCCCTGGTGGGCTTGAACTCTGCAGGTTGATCTACATCTTCATCTCACCACATCCACCATGACCACATTCTCTCCTGGTCTGCTGCAATTGTACTCTTTGCTGACATCAATGCTCTTACTCTTGCCTCCCATTCCTCAAAGCCTTCAATGGCATATCTCATCATTCTCAGAATTAAATCCCTCAATCTGTCCCATAAGGCTGGAACTCATCTACTCCTCAAAGTCTACTCTTCCAGCCTCATGAGCTGCTTCTTTTGGTACTTTTCATTTGGTCCCAGCCACACTATCTCCTTCTTCCTCCTGAGGACTAAACTCAAGGAGTTTAGTCTCTCTTGCCAAAGTCTTAGCTAAGAGGCTTGAGGTGTCATGCCCTACGAAATGTAAAGTCTCATCAGATGGGTTTTCATTAACCCTATAGAATGTGGTTTACTTTCCTATCTCACTCAAGCATAGAACACATAACATATAAAGAGAGAAATACAACATATTTTATGACCCTGTAGAGCCACATCTCTTGAGAAAATTTGCATTGGTGTAGAATCTTCTTTCTGGATGCTTTTAAAGACATTTACTACCTATTCTCTCAGGCGATCCTTCCACCTTAGCCTTTGGAGTAGCTGAAACCACGGGTGCTCAACACCACGCCTGGCTAATTTTTTGATTTATTGTAGAGATGAGGTCTCATTAACTTGTCCAGGCTGGTCTCAAGTCCCTGGGCTCAGGCAATCCTCTTGCTTCTGCCTCCCAAAGTGCTGGGATTACAGGTGTGAGCCATGGAGCTTGCCATGCTTATTTTAAATCAGCATCTCTTGGACTAATTTAAAATTTTTTTAGATAGAGTTTAGCTCTTTCCACCAATTGCCAATCAAAAAATCTTGGAATCCACCTGTGGCTTGCAAGCTGTCATTTGGAGATGTCATGGCTTCCTGGGCCAAATCAACAAGAATCTCTCATCTACTGATTTTTTTTTTTTTATAAAGATGTGGGGTACAACTTAGGGTTAGGTATACAGACAATGATTATGCAGGTACTCTTGTTGATGAGGTGTGCCCCTCCCTCCCCAGCAGTTTCCCACTGCCAATCCCACCCCTCCTCCCCTGGCAGTTTCCCACTGCTGCCAATCCCTTTCTTATAGTATTATAATTGTTCAAGGTCCACTTATGAGTGAGGACATATGGTACTCTGTTCTTGTTTCTGTGATATGGCATCTATTGATTTTAATATTTTGCCTGTAACTTCTGTCTCTCTAAAAAGCCAACCTGTAATGCCACCATTTTGGGCACATGTTCTCAGGACCTCTTGGGACTGTGCCAAGGGCATAAAATCACTCATTCACATTTGGCTCAGAACAAACCTTTTTACAGAGGTAATAATTTATAGAGTTTGGTATCTTTTGTCAACATTCCAATATGTTTAGCACACTCTCCTCTTGGACCTTTGCAAATCATCCTTCCCTAAACGGGAAATGGGAAATGTAGTTTTTCAAAAATATTTGCATAATTTATTCCTTTTAAAATTTGATTTTCTGCTCAAGTATAATTTCTTCAAGTTCTTCCCCAGCCAGTGTTATAAGATTATACATAACAGGGGCTTTAATCAGACAGACACTCATTTCTCTCTCATCCAGGGCTATGTGGTACCTTGAGAACTCAGAGCCTTCTCTCTGGTCCTGGTCTGAGTGGTACAAAATGATTCCTCACCATACTTATAATCCAGACGTACATTTCCATCAACAACACCACTCATACAATACTTACAGGGTAATCAGACATTGTTGTTTTAAGTTTTATTACTGTTTTTTTTAATTGCTCATAAAGAGTCAATGACTTGTAAAAATATTGCTTATATGTTGTCCTTGTGTTCTTTTTCTTGGTATTATTTTATGGTTTTCAGCATAATTGAATTTCTCCACTCTACTTTATAGTGTTCTAACTGGCTTAATTGATCTCAGATTTCAATTCATCCCATATGTTTAATAAAAAAAGTTTATGAGGCTGAACTTCTCCTTGCACCTGAACTATTTTATGATCTCATTTCTCCTACCAATCCCACTTCCTTCACCCCTCAAATAATTGGTTTCACCTTTCAGTGAATTCCTTAGAACTTTATAAGAATTCCTAGAGATTTTTCGTGTTTCCTGTGGAAGGATAACTTTCTTTTTTAAAGTTATAAAGTAATTAGTGGCCATTACATGGTGCTGGCTTTCCAAAGTCATTTTAAGATTACACCTAAGAATTACACCTTTTATTCTTCTTAGGCCTCACCTCTTCTCTAGGGAATAAGTAGAATTGTTTTTAGAAATTTGCCCTTGACCTGAAAGCATAATTCAACTAAATCCTGAAAACAGCAATTCTTTAATTTTGGTTAGTATATTGTACCATCACAGGTGTATTATGGAAAACCCCATGGTTTGCAGGAGCAGTCTTTTCCTCACTATTAACTTCCTTTAGGATTTAGGAAAAGACCATCATTGACAATAAGTTGTGTGACCCTGGGCAGTCGAGGCTGAGAGATTTTCACAGATTGCTATTCTGCTTAAAGAAAGCAAGGGTGGTCAATCTTCAAGTGAATCAGAAGGCCCAAATGAAAAACTAGCGGTGTCCTAGAGGGTGATTATTTTATCAGAGAATGGGTCCTTGAGGCCAGAAGGTTCAGGTCACTATCATAACTTCTCCTGTAGGGCTACATTAATGTAAACCTTTCCTCATGTTACTTAAAGGTGAGCACAACTGGAGAGTTTTAACTTACTTATTTACTTTTAAAAAATTGAAATTGCCTTTTAGAGAGTGTTGTCAATTTCAAGGTTTTGCAAAGCGGTTCTTCAATTTAAAATTGTTTTTCTTTTTAAAATTAGAATTTCTCTTCAGATTAAAAATCTTTGCCAGTCTTTTAATTGCAAAGTGATGCATTTCATTGTAACAAATTCACACGTTGCATAAGTGCAAAGAACAAGTTACAGTCCCTTCTTCATTTCTTTCTCTACACTACTGCCCTAAAACTCTTCTTAACAGTTTGGTATGTGACTTTTCATTTTTAAACTTTTGTATCATGTAAGGATCTATCTATAGATATATATGTAATATGTATATATGTAATATATATAGGGTATATATCATATATGAATTACATACAATTTTATATACATGCATATGCTTAAAATTATTGTATATTGTTTTTTAATTTGAATCTGGGACATATTTCTAAGACAATACACATAGATCGACTTTAATTATTTTTATCTATTTATTTTTTGAGTTGGAGTCTCATTCTGTCACCCAACCTAGTGTGCAGTGGCATGCTCCTGGCCACTGCAACCTTGACCTGCTGGGCTCAGGTGATCCTTCTGCCTCAGCCTTCCAAGTAGCCAGAACTACAGAATACACTACCATGTCCAGCTAATTTTTTGATTTATTGTAGCGATGAGGTCTCACCATGTTGCCCAAGTGGGTCTTGAACCCACAGCCTCAGGCAATCCTCTTTTCTTAGCTTCCCAAAGTACTGGGATTATAGACTTGAGCCACCGCACCTGGCCTACCTTAATTATTTTTAATGGTAACGTACTTTCCTATTGTTTGGACATACCGTAATTTAGTTGCACATTTCCTTGTGTAGTCTATAGTATAGGGTATAGTGTAGATGTGGAATATAGTCCTTAACACTATAGTAAGTATCTCATTTCATTTTCAGAAAACCATCAGGGGGCAGATATTATTGTCTTCATTTTATAGGCGAGGAAACCAAGCTTAGAAAACTTGAGTACCTTGCCTAGGGTTATACAGTAAGTGATGAGCTAGGATTTAATCTCCCTACTCCAAATCTCCAAAATCTCATTGCCTACCGCTTTGTTGGAATGATGGGTCTTTTAGGTTTTTTATTCTTGTATTTTCTGCACCAACTTTTCTACAATAAATATGTATTTTTTAAGCTAAAATGACACTAAAAAGACCATTTCATTATTAATCACTTACGTCCACTGACTCATTTAAAATTGAAGGAACATTTAAGCAATCCCAATCAAAGGCAGTGAAAATTGCGAACAACATACATGACAATTGCTTTGGAGAATGTCCAAAGTAAGTCATGGTCCCAATTATATACATAATACAGCATTTATTTTATTTTGTTTGTTTATTTATTTATTTTTTTGAGTTGGAATCTCACTCTGTCACTCAGGCTGGAGTGCAGTGGCTTGCTCACTGCCACTGCAGTCTTGACCTGCTGGGTTCAGGTGATCCTTCCGCCTCAGCCTTCCAAGTAGCTGGAACTATAGGTGCACTACCACGCCCAGCTAATTTTTTGATTCATTGTAGAGACAAGGTCTCATCATGTTGCCCAGGCTGGTCTCGAACTCCTGAGCTCAGGCAATTCTCTTACCTCGGCCTCCCAAAGTGCTGGAATTACAGGCTTGGGCCACTGCACCTGGCCAGTTTGTTTATTTTTGTGTCAGTAT